CCCACTACACGACGACTGGTAAAAAATGTTAATTTAAGCACTCCTTGTTTATATGTTATAAATTTTATCATTAATAATCTATTGGAAACCATTTTCAACATTTCAACTATCTCAGGAAAAAGAACTAAATTCTCGCCTCAAACTCTATTTATGAATCCCTATATCATTGCATTTTGATGGTAAAATCCTTAAATATGTTTTAAACAATTAATTATTCATTAAAGGTTTACACCGTCTATCACCGTCCATCATGGTGCAACGATTTCAGATTAGAAAATTAGAAAATTAGAAAATTAGAAAATTATAGGTCAGTCCTTTCATTTCTTTGAATTTATCCTAACCTGATCTTCCATCCATGGTTGGCTAGATGTTCCTGATGCTATCCCTGAGCTAGCAGAGACTCTATCCTCTCCTGTATATCCTCCCTCACTCTGACCAGCAGATCCAAGCAGCAGGTACACCCAGGCAGCTCCCTGTACATAATATATATATTTATAGGTACACCGAGGCAGCTCACTGCACATAATTAATATATATAAGTTCACCCAGGCAGCTCAATGTAATAACATATGTATATATAGGTACACCCAGGAAGCTCCCTGTACATAAACAATATATATAGGTACACCGAGGCAGCTCCCTGTACATAAATAATATATATAGGTACACCCAGGCAGCTCTCTGTACATAAATAATATATATAAGTACACCAAGCAGCTCAATTTAATAACATGTATATAAGTACACCCAGGCAGCTCTCCCTGTACAATATATAGGTACATGGCAAGCAGTAATGCACATGAACAATATATATAGGTTCATAGGGAGCACTAAAATAAAAAGGTGCATTGCTCCCTATAAATGTAAAGCAGACAACTTATATACTGTACACTATAATGTACAAAAGCAATATTACATATATATAAATTAAGTTGTAATCTCTGTTTATCTGTCTGCATATGTACACTGTAATGTACAAAAGCAATATTACATATATATATATATTAAGTTGTAATCTCTGTTTATCTGTCTGCATATGTACACTGTAATGTACAAAAGCAATATTACATATATATATATTAAGTTGTAATCTCTGTTTATCTGTCTGCATATGTACACTGTAATGTACAAAAGCAATATTACATATATATATATTAAGTTGTAATCTCTGTTTTTCTGTCTGCATATGTCCGATCATGAACCCCTGGACCTATTCGCCTCAAAATTTGATTGGGGAACTCGGTAGAACCACGGGAGTGTTCTTAACTTGGTTTTAAGATTTGAGTGGAAAAATCCATGCAAAGCTGGGTTCCCAAGCTAGTATTATATATAATGATAAATTACATGTACCCAAAGTTTAAAAAATACATGATAAGTAACATTTGGTATAATGTTCGCCAATTTTTGGATTTATTAACACTAAACATAACTTCTCAAAACAAGCCTGGTCCGTAGACCAAACAGTCAGAAAATTGAATTCCAATCCAAGCCTCGCAGCTATATCATATACACTAGACGTTAGGATTTGAAAATTAGGCTCGCTAACATTTTTAAAGAGGGGATGAAACAAAATCAAATTGTAAATGCAATTTTATTTCACTTTTCTTTAAAGATTATCTTTTTAAAACTGTTCCAAACAAAAAGGGGTTTATAGGAAGACAACATCTCTCATCATCCACTTATTATTCACCTTACACTCCCTTTCTTTTTAGCGAACACTCCCTTTAAAATTTAGTAAAATCGAGGAAAAATATTTAAGTGCAAAGCTCACTTCCTTTTCCCACCTCCGTATCTAATCTTATATATAGAGGTAAGTTTTAACTTCAACACTTCTGAGAATTGCATTTATGGTGCACCGTGCAGTTTAGGAAGGAAGGAAGGGGGAGGGTGCAGGGAGTAGACGAACCCAAAGAAAATGCCTATTATTCACAAACTAAATTTCTCTAGGCTTTATTTTTTGCAACCTGATGGAGCAAACCTTATTTAAAACTTACGACTATCTATGTTTTTAGTTTACCAATATACAAGGATTATAAAATTACAGTTTGTGGCAAGTGTTCAGTTCCTCTGGAGGCATCAAAACTGTTAGAATTCAATATTTTGAGTTGGTGTATAGCTTGAAGGGGAGTTTACCCCCGGTATAGTTTACAGATTTACTTCTTGTTTATCATTTTCATAGTCTCCAGATCATGTTTCGTATACACTTCAACACCCCCCC